TACCACTCCTGTAAGTTTCCATTCAGTAAGAATTAACAATAATCACCAAACTATACTCTGTTTTTCCCTAAGATCCTCATCTCTTTAGCAGCCACCTCATGCTGAGCATGGTGGATGCCAAATACACAGCAGATCAAAAAAGGAGAAAAATATGTGTTGTTAAAAATGGGCTTGAAAATTCAAAAAGCAACACTAAAAATCTCATAAATAATGTTTCACTGAAATAACAGACTGAGAAGAGTAGGAGTGTAAGGTTATTAAAGAATGAATCTCATTGTAAGAAAAAGTATGTCCTGTTTGGTTACAAACCAACTCTAAATAATATTTGCACAGTAAGGGAAATTTAGTATGAAAAAATGTGTTTATTGTTTTGAAGAATAATTTAATGGAAATATGATAATCATATTTCTATTTATTCACATATAAAATCAGAAAATATTTCAGCATTACTGTAAAATCATTAGGAAGCCAGATGTAGTGATTCAAAACTATGTGATCTCAGCATTCAGGAGGCTGAGGCAGGAGAACTGCTATGAGTTCAAGGCCAGCCTGGGCTACAAAGTGAGTTCAGGCCAGCCTGAACTGCATAGTGAGACATTTCTTCCAAAAAGACCAAATGAAAAAAAGTCATTATAAAACAAGCATTTTAATGTGCTGATAATTATGCTTACATATTGCTAAACTCCACCATAATAAGTGAAAGAAGGTATGAAGGAATAAAAACATAATTGTTGTAATTATAGAGGACTCTTCTAAAGGTATATATCTTTACATTAATGGGGGATTTGAGATGACCACAGGGTACCTTCTGTGCTTTTAAAGGTAGTCTCCATTCTCTTGCTGATGGTCAAGTTATTGGTTCTCTCTAAAAATCTGCTGTTAATTTCCTGATTACAGATATAAAGAGTAATTTGCTGTATGCGAACATTATTTTAAAAACTTATGAATGCGAATTCTAATGTTTAAGTATATAAAATAGTGGGCAAAATATATAAGGTACTGTCCTTCAATTGTGTTAGCTATTAACGTTACTGGAATGGTGGCTAACATAAATGTTAACGAGTGCTTTTGTAGTTTGTTAGAATGAAAAGGGGACACTGCTTCCGGATGTCTTTTCATTTAAAGTTTAGTTAAAAGAGTCTATTTGAATTCTGGCCACATCCTAGATACACAGCTGAGCCTGGATTTAGAAAACAAAAATAAAAACAAGACAGATTCCTAATATGCCTATTTCAAGAAACTTATGATCTGGGATAATGAGAAAAGAATCAGAGAGATGGAATAAATGATACTTTCAAATTATCCCAGGAATTAAAGCAACCCACAATTTAAGTGATTTTCTTATACTCTGATAACTCATTGTTGCTAAGCAGGAAACTGAAAGTTTCTTATTTTCAAATTTCCCAAATCATGGGCCTTTCCTCTACTTTGTGCAGGGAACTGTCTGCCATGGTATTTTTCTAAAGGCAGTTTAAAATTGAAGAAGAATCTCCTCACAGAACCATGACCTAATTTTTGCAAGTGAATTGTATTTGTGAGGTCACAGGCTCATTTTTCTCCAAAAATTATTACTCAGAATTAGTTGGCACAATATATGGCTAGAAATATGCCCTGGAGGATTAAATTATTAAGTGAACATATATTTAACTAGGTTTTCTTGGTATATAATACAGCTTCATAGGTTAATATACAGGCACATCACTATTCTGTAACTTTATTGCTTTGAATACTAAAGATAAGATTATAGAACTATAAGTTATTACACATATGTAAGCAAAAAATTGAAGGGGGGCAGATATGGGAACTATTTCTCAGATTTCCTGATCTGGTGTGATCTCTCAGGCTGTCTTATCATCCATTTATCCAGCAGTTAAGAAGTTCTTTAAATGTTTGCGCACCAATTTAGTGTTTACCGATGCCATTTGCACGTTGATATTTCCAGTAAAGTCAACCTTCAAGAAGACATAATAGGAATAAATCTAAATTATCAACAAACAAAACCCACAAGGAATGAGTATGAGCTCAAAACTTAGAAGATGTCATTTCTCTCACACAAAAGCCCTTACTCTACTATCAATGACAAAATTAAGATTAGATAAACTAAAAAGATATTTTCTCTTCATTATTACTATTAAATATATTTCTTTAATGCCTTGCTTTCTACAGCATGATTAATAAAGTCTTATATTTTGAATAAATCGTTAACTCATAGCTCTTAGAATGATTTGAGAAGTCACAGAAACACCCAAATAATAAACAATTAAATATTGTCAAAAGGCATGTTTCAAACAAATGATTGGTAGGTTTTAAAATTTTTTTAACATGACATTTTCAGTACCCATTTGTTATTACTCACTTATTTTATCACCTACTTTGTGCTAAAGCTTGAGAATTTAAGTAGGTTGAGTAAATGGCGTTGATGAAAGTGTTTCCTCCACAACGATGCTCCTGGACTGGTCCATCCATCAATAGTGCAGGCCCTTAACAGATCTCTAATCTGCCCCATAGCTGCCAAAGTAATTGATGAGGCTGTTTCTTGAAAAATGCCTCTTTGGGTTTCTGAACAAAAAGCAGTGAAAACCCATATGCCCATGGACACACAATACCACTGGGAGGTGATAATGACTAGTATTTTGGTGAAGTATTTGTTAAGCAAAATATTATTCCAAAGAAAATTGTAGCAGAAAACAATTTGAAATTGGTATATATCACAGTTGCATGGTGAATCAGCAAAACTACCAACAGAAGCTCAATCCAGCATTATTTAAAAATATTTTAAACAATCCAGAGATACTTAAATATTTCAGAAACAAAAGGCTCCTCAAGCTAAGTTGTTATTCAATTGCTTCACATTTTTGTAATGTTGAATACAAATTGGTTTAAATCAGTAGCATCCTGTGAGTTATCCTTTGAATTTGTCTTGCATCTCTTTTTCTGGAGTCTATGCTCATAGATAAATTGAGACAAAAAAAGTGAATAGTTTCATAAATGTCATATCATGACCATTCAGTGATAAAGCTGCAGTGTTTGCTTAATTCCACGTCTTTTATTGAATGCACAAATTCTAGACCTACAAATCATGACAAAATTTTCTTTCTTTAAACTAATTTCAGTTGTACTATGTAAATTTTCCTTCTTTTTCTATAAATTATGTAACATTTTTTCTAATTAATTTGAAATTTTACTTCATTTATTTTTATTATCTTGTGATTAGTATTGAAAATCAAAACCTCTACACAAATTTTAGTGAAAACAATTTTACATTATAAATTCCATCATCCTTGAAGTGAATAATCAAACTAGTCAGTTGTTTTTTTATAAAAGATTTGTGATATTAATTCTTAATTCTAGAGAGATTGAATTTCTTATTTACATTTCTTCTTTGGTTGTATTTCTCATGCCTTAAAATTTTATTTTTGAGTTCATAAAAATGTTTCCAGTATACAAATATTTGAAATAAACATGGATTTAATAAACATGGATTTTCTTTTGTCAATTATGAATCTCTAAGACTCCATATCAAAAAATGTAAAAATTCAATGTATTCATGTGCAATGTCAACACAACTGTAGCAATCTTACTCTTTTTATCTTTTCTTACATTTTTATTTTTCTTGTTTTCTTTTTGATTTCTGATGTTGGTAATAGTATATGCACTTTGTAATTTTATCCTCTGTTATATAGATTTTACTGTGGAATTATTAATATTTTCATGTACACTTTATTTAGTGATAAATATTAGTATACTTCATGGTTTTCACATAAATTTATTTCATGTATTTTATCTGTAAAATATCTTAGGATAAGCTGAAAATCTTTTCCATCTAATATGTTGAGATATCTAACAGTGGAACCAAGTTTTAAGTAGAATCAAGTATTTATTCAACAGTTCTAAGCTTTAATTACTCATATAAAGTTGATTAGACAATATAAGAGAAAGAACAGATACAAATATGTCAATCTACTTGTAAAATTTCATAGGAATTGAAAACTTATTGCTAAGATACTGTGTCTCACAGTCTTTGAAAATCTCTATGGTTGTAATATTTTTAAAATTTGATTAATAAGAAAATTAAAATGATTAAATTTATTTTTATTAATGCTTTTAACTTTAAGTACAATATAGATTAATTGTATTCTCATAACAATGCCTTATATTCCAACACACTTATTTTAATTCTAATGGTACTCCTATGGGATGGCATGCTAGTCAACTTTCCACTGGTGGTCCACAATGGGCAAAAAAACAGTTTTAAAGGGGAAGTTGACTTTGGTTCAGCAGCTGCAGTCCAAAGCAAAATCCAGTGTAAAAGTCATGGTGCGGTAAACTTTCTTGCATTGTGGAAGCCAAAAAGCGGTGGAAAAGGGACAGTGTAAGAAAAATAAATAGCTGAAACTCTGTCCCAGGACCTCCTTCCAGTACGTCCACATTCTAATAGCTTATTTAACCATAGAGGCATCACTATGTTAATTCACTGATGTTTTTAGTGCCATCACAACCCAACTATTTCTCTAGTTTTCTCTTAGTGCACTTAAACTAACAATCAAGATTAAGGGCCAGTAGCAGTGCATCAAGAGTAGTAAATCATTTTTCAGTCATCTGCAAAATACTGCCTTGCAGTTAGAAAGCTGAATTGATTCCATATCTGTTGAAATTGGAAGCTAATTGCCTTTCCATGCACCAATGTAGTATTTTTAAGTGTGTGGGAAAGTGAAAATTTAAAATAGGGTCTATTATTTAAAGTATGTAATATAGGGTAAAATATAATATAGGATCTATTGTTTAAGATATGGTAGTTTTCATGCGGCCATCTTAAAATTGGGATAATTCTAGTTGGGGAAGAGACTTGGTGATATGGTTTGACAACTGGTGGTCAACTTAATGCCAGCTGGATTACATCAGCATGCATTGAGAAAGATGCTCCACCTGAGGAAAGTTGCCAGGATAAATAGATGGAGAAGAAGGGAGGTGTTGAGAGGGTTGAGGCATTAAGAAGGCATTGTGGGTTCTCCTATGAGTTGCTGTCTGAGCTGTTGGTTCTCCTGGAGAAGCTTTGGTCTTCATATCGAGCATGGTTTCCTGGCTCTGGAGGGGAAGACATGTGCTGCTTGGTCTCCAGGATAAACTCCTCATGCTCCTTCCTGTGCACGTACTCCGACTGTTGTGGAGGAGCTCAGGGCCTCCGTGTCACTGAGGACAGCTGTGGTGCATTTCAGGACAGCCCTGCTCTTTGTTGTGAGTGTGACTTCTCAGCTCCAGTGTAGAACCCTCATCCCAATAGCACAGCTCCTTCATTCTGCTGGCATAGACTTTCTGGTTTCCACCACTGACCTTTGGGTCTTCCCAGCACGGATCAGTAAAAGAGACTGGCATGAGTCCTTCTTGTGGGCTCTGGACTTCCAGTTGGACTCATGGGAGGCAATGTCCTGAGTTCTGGGTTTTTATCTGGACTCATGAGGGACATGTGCTGTGGGGTTTGGACCCTTGACTAAATAATCTATGTCTTTGGTGTTGTGGATAAATTTCCTGCATTTTCCAGTGTTAACTCCTGGTGATCATTATAAAAATATTATAAACTCCATATCCTGATCTGAATTGTTCTCTGTGTACAACCCCTGACTACAACACTTGGCTTCCTTGATTTGGAAATCATTAGAAGGTGAAACCCAAAGCATGGAAGAAGAGGACCCTGTTTGTCTCAGTACTGTGTTACTTGTCTTTTATTCTTCCACCCCTCCCACCATTCTCTTTCCACTCCTTTTCTTTTCACTGCATGCCTGCACATTAGCCTAAGACTTGTATATCAAAGAACAATCTTTTTTTTTTCATTTTAAATTGTAGACAACATTCAGTTATTTTTTCCAAAATAGGCACAGTACTCATTTACTAGTTCTTAAATTTACTTCCCATTCTTTTTCAGGAACTCCACCAATATTGGAGATGCTAAAGTAAGAAAAAAGTATTTCCTGTCTGGAAGAAACAGCTCAAGCATGAACTGTGAACATGAATGAAGACTTTAAGGGCAGTAATATATAAAAGAAACACATAGAAAAAATGATGATGTAACATAGTTTTACTCATATTACCCCCACCCCCAAAAGTACCATGAGAAGACTGAAGGATCAGTACCTGTGGGGATCCAGGTGAAAAACAGCACCACAAGAAGATCCTGAAACCAGCTGTCATGGTTTATGTCTATGGCCCCCAGGCCTCATGAGTTTGCATTGTTTCTGATAATTCATTGTATAGTGCTTGGATTGATAGTGTCAGTGCTCCACCCACATAGGGATGGAGCCAGGATGTGATGTAATGGCAGGAAGAAGGTATATCTTGCTCTTTTCTGGCTCCTGCTTGCTGTTGGTGGCCATCATGAACTGTGGCCCAGCCATGCCTGTCTGCCTTGGAGCCAACTGAGTGTGGACTGAAACCTCCAAAAACTGTAAGAAATAAACCTTTCCTTTCCCAACTTTGGGATTCAGGTATTTTGTCTCAGCGATGAGTAAAAAGTAACTAAGACACCATCTTTGCCCATTGCATCTGCCAGAATCTAGGTGAACAGCACCGGAAAAACCCACAGGCCAGTGGGAATATCAGGCACACAGTAGGGTCTCAAACCAGGGTGTACAGGATCCACAGGGAAAACTAGCTGCAAGAAACTGTCAGAAGCAGCAGTGGCAACACAAGCCAACATATCAGGTGAGCTAGCTTTGTGCTTGGGAGCAAAGACACACAGACTAGAAACAGGCAAGTGGGACTTTCCCTTCTACTTCTCTCTTTTCTCTTTTTTTTTCTTTTTTCTTATTTTTATTCTTTTTGTAAATGACTAGTGGTAAATCCTGTCACAAATAACTAATCCCATCCCCCAATCCCAGAAACCAGGCTCAGATATCCTTTGATTACTCCATCATCCTTTCACTTCTGCCATCTTCTCTAGTTTATCCTAAGTTTATGTGATCATCCTTTATCCTCCAGCCTGGCTCCTACTTAGTTTTCAGTTATCTTTATTTTATGTACAGTCTTTATAAATTTTTTTCATCACAGGGTAAAACAAGTCTATCAATAGGAAAAACTTTGTTTACAAGCTCCCAATTTACAATCAGTTCTATAATATAGTATAGAGTTAATTCCTATGGGTAAAGGTATAAAATTAATAGTTACAACAGTTTGTCAGATTCTAAACTGTGCTTGATGCTAATTATTACCACTTAGTATACTATATTAGCCTGGGTGTCATATCTGTTTTAATCAGTTATTCTCATTTCCATGGCAACACTGGAATGCTTTGAAGTAATAACCTCTCCAAACTGCAGTATCAAAGGAATGAAGGCTGTTTCAAACAGACACCAACATTTCACTCTTACTTAACTGGAAAGGTAGGATCTTAAGACACACATAGACCAAGAAATTCCAAAACACAGTAGACATCCACAAAGAACAAACCTTACCTAGAGAGACCTTGATACTAATGATAAAGCTACTTACTACAAAAACTTACAAGAATCAGCAAAGCAAACAATAAAAACTTTTGAAATAGAAAATTAAAAGGCACAGATGCAAAATCAACCACATACCTCCAGACCCAGCAGAACAAGTCCAGGAGAAAATGACATAGAAGAAAATGGAAGGCACACATGTGACATTTATGCAAATGAAGTAAAGAAACAAATCTATGAGGCTGTAGTGGAAATCAGATCAGAAATAAGATAAGATAAATAAGATAAAAAAATAAAATAAGATAAAAAAGAAATGCCAATATTTATAAAACAATTGCTCAGCAAATCTAGTATACAAATAATTTTTTTAAAAAGATGATGATGATAAGAGGATGGAAATTGTGAGTGATCAGTGTAGGAAAGATAGAATACCTGAAATGGATTCAAACAGATATCCAGGAGATTAAAACTTTCATTGAAACCTGGCAAAAACTACTTGAACAAAACTTAAGACAATTTCAGGCCTTGAAGACAGGACCACAGTTAGTGATCATGAAAGGAAAGATCTCTTAAAAATAATAAAAGATCATTAAATAAAAAGTCAACAATTGCAAGACAAAGGAAGAAAACATAATATAAGAATATTTGGTGTTAGTGAAAAAGGAGTAAATATGAATGACAATAAAAAACTATTTGCAAATGTAAAAGCAGAAAATTTCTCAAACATGGAGAAAGAAACTGACATAAGATGAGTTAGGCATATAGAACTTCAATTAGCTATAACCATTATAAATATATACAACATAAAATAATCAAGATCTTAGAAATTCAGCACAAGAACATAGTATTTAAAGCTGTTAGAAAAAAGAAAAAGATCCTTTATAAGGAAAACCTATCAGAATCATGGCAGACTGCTCAACACAAACCCTCAGGTCAACAAAAGCTTGGAATGAAGTATTTCAAGTCCTGAAAGAAAAGAACTTTCAACCCAGATTGATGTGCCCTGTAAAATTATCTTTCAAAATTAATGGAGAAATAAGATACTTCTATGACAAAAAAAAAAAAAAACTGAAGAAATTAATGACTACAAGATCAATACTACAAAGACTACTGAAAGGTATTCTAGATAGAGATAAAAATGAGCACAATTCCAAGAACAATGATAGAAAGAAACCATTAAGCAAGACAAGTAACTAAACAGAGGATGAAAAACAGGGAATAAATAACAAGAAAACAATGTGACAAGCATAAGCCAATATATTTAATTTGTAACCATCAATGTAAATTGCCTCAGTTCACTCATCAAAAGAAACAGACTGATAGAATGAATCAAGAAACACAATCCAACAATATGCTATATTCAATACACACATTTAATTCAAAAAAGAAATTGATAGATTGAAATTTAAGGATGGAAAACAATACTCCAAAAAATAGGATCCCAGAAGGAAACAGGAGTAGCTATTATGCATGCGAACAATGTGAATTTCAAGTCAAGAATGATCAAAAGAAATAAAGAAGGTCACTACACACCTGTTAGGGGAAAATTTTAAGAGGATTAGATAGCAATCATAATTATGTATGCACACAATATAATACAAATAATAATAGACATGAAAAATCAAAAGACCAATAACACAATTGTAATGGGGATCTTTCTACCCCACTGTCACAAAAAAAGATAGATCAGTCCGACAAGAAATAAGCAATGAAATTTCAGAGTTGAATCAAACCTGTGAACAAATTGACTTAGTCAATGTTTACAAGACATTCCAGCCCAAAACAGCAGAATACATATTCTCCTCAGCTGCATATGGGATGTTCTCTAAATTAGATCACATTCTAGCCCACAGAACATGCTGAAGTAAGTCAAAGAAATTGAAATAATCTAATGCATACTGTCTGACCATAGTGCAATGAAATTGCAAATTAATGGCAAGAGAAACTACAAAAATCCATAAACATATGGAAATTAAATAGCAACCTCATAAAAAGTCAATGGGTCATATATAGAATAAAAGAAGAAATTACACAATATCTACAATAAATGAAAATGTGTATCCAACATACTGGACACTATTTAAGCAATCCTGAGGAAAGTTTACAGAGATGAATTTGCACACCAGGAAAACAAGAAACACAAGTAAACAAAATAATGTTGCACATCAAGCTTCAAGAAAAACAAGAGCAAGTCAAGACTAAGACCTATATAAGGGAGGAAATTACAGATCAGGGCAAAAATTAACACACTGAGACTAAGAAAACAATACAAAGAGTTAATGAATTAAAGTTTGGTTCTTTGAAAGAACAAATAAAATTATTAAATCCTTAGTCAACCTTATCAAAAAAAAAAAAAAAAGAAAGAAAGAAAGAAGCAAAAGAATCAAATTCATGCAAGGAGGACCGAGAAGGCTGAAATCACTAAAGGTCCTGTGGAAATTCAGATAATTGATACCTATTTCAAAAATCTTTACTCTCATTGGATGGAAAACAAAAATAAAATGGATAAATTTCTAGATATGTATGAAATGCCAAAGCAGAATCAAGAAGATGTAAAAATTCTGAATAACCCAGTATCAGTCAATGAAATTCAAAGTGAAAATAAAAATTTATCAGCAAAGAAATGCTTGCTTCCTGATGGATTAACTGACAAATTACACAAGACATTTAAAGAATATTTAATGGCAAAACTCCTCAAACTCTTTAAACAAATTGAAAGGGAAGTAATGTTATCTACTCGTTGCTGGAGACAAGCATTATCCTGATACCAAAACCAGACAAAGACTCAATCAAAAAAGAGAATTATAGGCCAATCTTCCCAATGACCATTTATTTCATCCTTCATCAAAATACCAATAGCATATTTCATAAAAGTAAAATTCACTTGGAACCAGAAGAAATATAGAAGAGTAAAGGAAATCCTAGGCAACAAAGACAAAGCAAAAGAAATCACAAACCCTGACTTGAAATTATACTACAAAGCTACTTCAATAAAAAACAAAGGAAAAAAATAAATAAATAAATAGACTTGAGGACCAGTGGGAAAAAATATATGATGCAGACACAATTTACAACCACAAAGGCCACCTATCTTTTACAAAGGGTCCAATATGTTCACTGGAAGAAACAAAACCTCTTTAATGAATGTTACTGCAAAAACCGCTTTCTACATGCCAAAGACCAAAACTAAATCCCTGTCTATGTCTATCACCATGTCTATCACCATACAGTAAACTAAAGTAAACTAAAGTCAAAACGAATCAAGAATCTGAATATTGAAACAGAAACACTAAATATAGTGTAAGAGAAAGTAGGTAGAAAACTTGAAAAATAGATGTAGGTAGGTAGTTTATGAATGAAACCCAGATTACATGAGAATTAATTCAAATAATTAGCAACCAGGATTTCATCGTATTAAAAAAAATTTGCACATGTTAGAAATCACACTAACAAAGTGAAATTAAAACCCATAAAGGGGGAAAAATTTAGCCAATTGTCCCCTAGTCAAAGGACCTCTATCTACAGCATACAAAGAATTGAAAATAATCAGACCTTCCAAATTCAAAGACCCAATAGAAAAATGAGCATCTGAGATGAATACACATTTCTCAGATGAAGAATACAAATGGCAAATAAATATATGAAAAACTTTTCAACATAACTCATCATAAAAGAAATGCAAGTTAAAACAGCACTGAGATTCTATTTCACCACAGAAAGAATGATAATCATCAAGAAATCAACCAATAACAAATGCTAGAGGGGGTGTGGGGAACATGTATTTCACTAGTTGTGGGAATGTATACTGGTACAACTACTGTGAAAATCACAGTGGAGATTCATCAAAAACTAGCATTGTGATCCCATTCAACTCATCTATTCCCCTTCTTGATATTTTCCCAGAAGAATTGAAAATATCATACCACAGTAATATATGTGCACCATGTTTATAACAACATAATTTGTCATAGCTAAATCTTGGAAACAACTCAAATGTTCATCAACTAAGGAATGAATAAAGATGATATGGTAT